TACCCTTTCCATTTTTGTTCTTCCTGAAGAATTGTTATTTTCTATTGAGAAATAGCGGAGGGTGAAGCCTCGTATAAATAGTTACAGAAGATTCATAATTACGGAAGGGAACCTATACATGTAAACTACCATAATTACAATGATCACATAATTAATATTAAATATATACATAACATATTTAACATGCACCCAACTACGTGACCGGCGAAGGACGGACGCCAAGACTGTGTCTGAAGCCGGAGAAGAGAAGAGACGGAAGCTCTTTAGTGAAAATATCTGCATACTGGGAAGAGGAGGGGACATGTAGTACTCTGACATGCCCTAGGGCAACCTTGTCTCTGACAAAGTGGATGTCGACTTCTACGTGTTTGGTGCGCTGATGCTGTACTGGGTTTGATGATAGATACACGGCACTGACGTTATCGCAAAAGACCAGTGTAGCACGCCGCAGAGGTTGTTGAAGCTCAAGGAGAAGATTTCGGACCCAGCTTGCCTCAGCTATGGTGTTTTCCACGGCACAATACTCGGCCTCAGCACTGAAGCGGGAGGTGGTGGCCTGGCGCTTGGAGGACCATGAGATGAGGTTGTCTCCAAGGAAAACACAATACCCCGAGGTGGAGCGACAAGTGTCGGGGCATCCAGCCCAATCAGCATCGGAGTAGGCCTGCAAGGAATCTGTGCCCGTATGGTGAAAGGTGATGCCATGAGTAGCAGTGCCATGGATGTAGCGTAGAACCCTCTTCATAGCTGTGAGATGGGTGCTGCGGGGGGCATGGAGGTGTAGGCAGAGCTGCTGGACTACATATGTAAGATCAGGCCGAGTGAAAGTGAGATACTATAAGGCGCCGACGATGGATCTTATATTGAGGGGTTTGGAAGTGGTGTACCAGACGTGGCTGAGAGATTTGCTTTGGTATCGACTGGCGTGGAGATGGGCTTGTAGTAGAGCATGTCGGCACATTCCAGGATTTCATGAGCAAACTGTGTTTGGTGAAGAAAGAGGCTGCCGCCAGTGCGCTGGACATTAATACCAAGGAAAAAATTGAGGTCCCTCATATCTGTCATGGCGAACTCTCCCTTAAGTTTCTGAGTGAGGTGAGTGAGAAGAGCAGAGAAGGAGGCTGTGAGAACTATGTCGTCCACATAAAGAAGAAGATAAGCCGTGTCAGAACCATGAGAGTAAACAAAGAGGGACGTGTCACTTTTGCAGCCCCAGAAGCCCAAAGTGAGGAGGAAACTTGCAAACTGGTGATACCAAGAGCGCGAGGCCTGCTTGAGGCCATATAGGGCCTTCTTCAACCTGCAAACATAATGTGGGCGTGCGGGATCCGGAAAACCTGAGGGCTGGCAGGCATAGACTGTGTCGTGGAGTGTACCATTCAGAAAAGCATTCTTGACATCGAGCTGATGGATCGGCCAGCCGCGAGCTAGAGCAAGAGTGAGAACAATCCGTACCGTGGCTGGTTTAACAACAGGGCTAAATGTCTCGTCGTAGTCGATGCCATAGCGCTGATTGAATCCGCGGACCACCCATCGAGCTTTGTACCTGGATAGTTCACCTGTAGGACCAAATTTGTGGCGAAAAAGCCATTTGCCAGTGATAATATTTTGTGAGGGGGAGGGGGGTACTAATTGATAAGTCGTTTTTGGGTTAGTTCTTTTTATTCTTTTTTAGGCATTTTTTTTATTATTTTTAGAGTTTAATTTTTAGTTTTTTTAGCTTAGTTTTATTTTAATTCTCATGTTTACAATCTTTTTATTTTCTTTCAAAATTAGTAGTTTTTTAAACACTTTTTACATTTTATTATTTTTATTTTATTTTTCCTAACCAAATTATCAGATATCTTATTTTTTGGAGAAAAATGTAGCAAAAAGACCAAAATGCAGTTCAAGTTTGGAAAGAAGAGATTGATTTTGGGCCGGAGCCCAAACCCAACTTTAATGAAATTAGCCCAACCACTCCATACCAATCCAATCTCAGGCACCATGAAAAGAAAGAAAAGGAGTCTACGACTCCTTCGTCGTCGTCAACGGAACGAGCATAAACCGGCGAAGCATTCAACACTCCAACGTTCGGCTCCATCAATTTCGTCACAATCAATTGCCAACGGGAAGAAAAGCTTTGCCTATAAATTGAGCACAGAATCATCAGATTGAGGGGGGGGACAACGAAGGGGGGAAACACGAGAATAAAGCAGCGGCTTGGCCGCTGCTATGGTGGTCGCCGGCGGTGGTGGCAGGCGGCGCGGCGAACGGCCTGCAGACGCGCAGCAGCTCCAGTTCCAGTGGGCAGCCTCCATCACAGCTCTAGTTTACTCAATTTGTTCATCTTCTTCAACAATTGGTAACTCTTATTTGTCAATTTTATCTTTTCTTCCCCAATTCTATGTAAAAGTTTGTTTTTTATTCAATTTTACATTTTTTGTTTGTTGTGTTTGTTCCAAATATTCCAAAAATGGTTGGTGTTCTTTATGGGTTTTTTTATGTTTATATTAAATCCCTTATGAATGAGAATTGATTCAAACTAGTTTTTCTTCAATTATTGAGCAAGTTGTTGTTGAATTGGTTGAATTGTATAATTTGATTTCATAAGTAGGTTGGTATGTGGAATTCGGTTTTTGTTGAAGCTATTTTAGCTCCATAAGGTAGTTAAATGAACTTCGAATTCATACGTGAATCTTTTTTGTGATTTGTGTTTGTCGATTTTAAGAATTTTGGACTTCTTAGCCCCATAAGTTGATTCATTTTTCTTAGAATTCGTTATTGAGTGATTATTATGTTTTCATGTGTTTGTTTGTTATTTTCATTGAATTAAGGTTGTTTAAGCTCAAAAACAATTCTCAATTTTATGAAAATATGTTGTGTTCCTCTATGTGAATAGAAAAAACGTCATTGGTTTGAGGAGTTCATGGAAATCTGTGAAATGTGCTCATCATTAGGAGAAAAAGTTTGTTAAAATGCATAATGTATTGGCGGTTTGTGAATAGATTATGTATGAGAGTTGAATGCATAATAGATTCTCTCTTTTATAAATTTTTTCTATAGTGGAAGTATGTTCTCATGCTTGAATAGAGAGTTGGGGTTCTAAGGTATATTTCAAAACGGGCCTTTGAATTGCATGACTCCGGGCCGTGTGGAGAGTTGACAATCCTCCGTATCGTGGTTAAGGAAATGAATCGACTCGGCCTTTGATTGATTTTTTCTATTCTTAAGTGCGTAAGTTACGTAATATATTGTCTACGTGCCTATTATACGTGTAATGTTTGATTTGTGTTTGTTCTCTTTTTCATTTTGTTTCGGGTTCTTGGTGGTGTTTTTTGGGTTTACTTTAGTTGGAGTAGATGATTATCTTTAAAGCTTGTTTTCCCCCATTTAATCAAAAAACCAAAAAAATAAGAAAATATAAAAAACCAAAAATATTTACTTTTCATTCAATCCCACCCCCCCTTTGTGTTGTGTTTAAGTTATATTATAAATTCTTTGTTTATAAAAGTTGTATTTATAAGTTTTTATATTTATTTAGTTATAAGTTTTATACGTATTATTATATGTGTAGTAGTTTTTTTTGTGACAATGTGTTTGCATGCTATTTTGATTTCAAAAGTACAAATTTTCTCCGTGGGATCGACCCTTACTTGCCCTAGCTATAGTTTTTATTTGATTATATATTGGGGGTTAGCTAAGGTTATTTATAAATTTTAATTTGTTTTGGACCCTACGACAAGTCTTCAACACTAGTTCTCATGTTTCGTTTTTAATCAAAGCATTAAATTCATCACACATATCATTGTAGCAGTTTTGATCCTTTAGTGCACTACGATAGGTGGGTGGTAGTGGAGAAATTTGGGCCATGGAGTTAAGGTTGAGGATATGTTTGGGTTTGGATATGCCGACTTCGGACCGGGTGACCATAGGGTGGGTGGTGTTGAGATTGGGTAGGAGGAGCTGCTGGGCCGAAGTGGGCTGAGGAGGGGGGAGGGATTTGGGCCGCTGGCGGGCTGGCTGGTCGGGGGGATATCTGGGCCGGTGGGCTGCTGGGCGAGGTGGGAAGCTGGGCGTGGGAAGGGGAGGAGGGCTGGGCCGTGTGAGGGGGTGGGCT